ACTCCTCTTTTGTTGCATCACCACATCCGCCGCATTTCATCATGCAAATGTTTTCGCCCGTAAAGCCAACTTGTTCAATAATAAGCCACGTTACTGACTCAACATTTGGCTGCTACTTTCACAATTAAACAGTGGTACTGGATTTCACAGGAGCCTTACTGTAATCTGCGATCATGTTACACTGCCTGTGTTATCAATTATTTATCAAATTATATGGGCTGATTGCTTTTGGATCTCTCTAAACCTAACCTTGTTTTTTTTTCTACGGTAGCCTTTATGCATTGTTAAAAACCGATTAAACCACCCATTCTCGGAAGATTTCTTGGCATAGCCCTACTACTATGTTCCTGTAGTATTGGAACAAACGTGCAGATTGAGTTTATTCAACATGTTGTGTGATGGAAATTCTACTTAATTCTGAACAAGCAACTACAGCTACACAGTATGTATCATGGTACAGCAAGGATCATTTGATCATACAGTATTTCTTATATTGTGTCAACATGTTTCAGGTTCAGGCTCTATAAGCTATGACTAAATGCAATACCCGGGTCAAGCAAAACTGTAGAATATGCTTACACTTATGTTTAGATTTACATTCTATTTTCCATTTTTATTTTTACTTTTTGCTATATGCATATACCTATACATTAATTTCTATTCTGTATATTGTGTTAGAGATTGTATATAAGTACTATTCTTTAACATTGTGTGAGTGGAACAACTGTAGCGAACAAATTCCCCCCGGGGATCAATAAAGTATTTCTGATTCTGATTCTGATTCTGATACAGCGTGCCATTGCATTCTCACATACTGATGATGATATTTAAGTACACTGAACATTTTGTGAGTAGTGTCAGTTCAGCTGGCAGCTGGGGGCTCTCTCGTTTAAGAGGCAGAGTACTTTTGGAGAGGTATTGTGCACTAAAATAGTGTCCCATGAAACCACCCAGTTCCACTTAACTTAGACAATGTGAATGTGCCGTAGTTTGTAACAAATGTGCAGTGTTTTAGGGGGGGACTTTCGGACTCAGAATCCTGCAGGTGTGGGGCTGTGTCATGTGTTTGAATGAGACTGTATTTATAACCAGTGGGGATGCCCTGTCTTCCATGACATACTTTGTAGTCTATACTACTTAAAACCACTACTCAGTTTGCTCCCAAGGAGACTTCACTTCCTCTTTCCAACATTAGCGTTCCCTGACTTCTCTGCTCAGGAAAGCACTGTAAAATGCTATTTTTTATGTTTTTATTCTTATCCAACCTTTTACCCACAGTCATGGTACAAAAGATCAGCTACTTGTTGCATTGGTGTGTGCATGTATGCTAAAGGTTGCTGAGCCTACTTCTCTTTTCTGACCATGTCTGGCCACAGCTTATGCATTAGTCTGACTCTGTTTAAGAAATATGGCTCTTATGGACCTACAGCCTAGCATACATGTATGAGGAATACGGAAGCGATACATGCTCTATTAGAGCACTTCCCCTTTCTTGTTCATTGGAAGTACTGCTCAGTCCAGTAGAGGGTGCCTGTAGAAAACACAGGCTCCATTACAGCCACTGAGGAAGGATGTAGTCTGGTTATTAAAATGCTACACGTCAGCTGGAAAGACAAATGGTAATACAGAATATTTGGTGACAGAAGATGGAGCAGATAATTCCTACACGTGACACAGAAGATTCAACTGCTCTGAGCACATTTTCTTATTCCCTAGTGTGGCCTGCAAAACATATGAGAGTAATAATAGGCCTTTAGAGCCTCTGGAGTACAGATTTGTATTAACCAGGTTATGGTTGAACTTTTCATGTTTTAAAAATTAAGTTTTTACTGGAAATCCTAGCTAGATTCTGGATTTTCCCTCTTCGTTCATATCTCCCTCTTTATCTCTGTAAGACACACCCACAGAAAAATACACACACTCTATTGTCATGTTGCTTATCTGGCTCTCACCCGTGTGTGTTACATATGAAGCGTGTTTGATTTGAAGCATTGTTTTAAGAAAAACATCAGAAATGGGGGTTGTTGTGGCACAGGAGTTTCAGTTTGTGTTAACCTGCTTCATTTCTCATAAACAGCCACACCCTTACCAATGAATAAGACATTGGCAGGCTTCATCTTGAATTAGTGTGAGTCTTTAGTATACAGTATTTGTGTGTGCAGGGTGAGGCTGATAAAAACAATATTAGTTAATATGTGTTGTTAATGTTTTAGTCATAAGAATGTGATTTTGTTGTGTTATATTTGGGTTGTTTTGCTTAAGGTCTCATGACATTTGACTGATAAATTTTTCCTATGCAGGAGAATAATTTATAATCTGTCCCTAATGAGGAAGGATCCCTAATGACTTTAAATGGCCATAAATGGTTTTCACTGTATGTGTTATCCCTGTGATGAACTGGCAACCTGTCTAGGGTCCCCCTGGTACCCCACCTCTCCCCCAATGTCATCTGGGATCAGCTCCAGCCACCTGGGACCTTCCAAAGGTAGGCGGTTATAGATAAGGGATGGACTGACGATATCCCTAATCAATACTACTCTTAATCCAAAGGAATGTGTACTGAAACAAATACTATAATAAAAACATTTTCTATGATACAGTCACAGATTTCCTACGTGACCTGCCTCAAGTTATTGTAGTTCATGTTATGACAGTGACAGCTTAATCAGATACTGGTTCAGGTGTAGCATTACATAAGATACTATTTCAGGATACAGACACTCCTTAAAAACACACGTAATGAATGAACTGGTTTGTGACTGAGGCTTTTCCCTTCTACTTTCACTCAGCGCCCTCTGCTGTTGACACAGGAAGGCCAAAGGTAGGAGAGAATGGGGAAACCTAAGAGATTGAAAGTGGGGATTGCCACACAACACAAAACCATTCAGAGAAGCAATGCTGCACAGTCAAATGATATTACCTCAATACCACGCATAGGGAATATGTAGGGAAGAAAAAGAGGATGAAAATGAATGGGCTATTCTCTGTAGGTGAGTGATGTTTCATGGTCATAAATCAAATAAGTATGATATGGTAACAGTATTTGCTCTAATGTCGATTCTCATAAAAATAGCCTTTTTCTTAGTTTGAACAAAATGGTGTGAAAACATTTTGTGTAAGCCAAAGGTAGGGGGACAACTGATGCATGTCAAACAAACGTTAGGCCCCGAATCACATCTTTCTTAGAAGCCAAAGATCTTGTGGTATTGGTATTCTTCTGTTGTCTGTTGAGGTGAGCAGATTGTTCAGAAGGAAAACAGATGGTGTGAGGTATGTGATTTGGGAGAAATGGAAAGTCCCCTTTTCTTGTGTATCTTATGATTTAAGATGTCTTTTCTCTGATTGACAAAACCTTGAAATAGTCAGGTTTAGAGATGATAAAAAATGTGAACATTGTTTGGTATATTTAAGTGCTAAGCCTGGAAAAGAAGGCAAGATGGATTATTAAGTTAATATTTATTCGGATTTCTCCAGTATTATACAGTTAAAGGTTTTGACAGTGACTTGTTAATATTGTATATTGTTATAATATTTATAATATTTTTAATATATATTTTGGAGCGGCAGTTTTTTGCCTTTATTGGATAGGACGACTGAAGATAGACAGGAAAGGGAGAAAGAGAGAGGGTTCAGATTCAAACCCATGGTCGCTGCAGCAAGACTTAAGCCTTGGTACACACACATTAGGGTGCTCAAAGGGTCTGAAGATCTGAATTTGAAAGATTTTTAGGACTTTTTTTATGTGTATGAATTTGTGGTGTCTTGTAAGCCAATGTGTGATTGGGCGTAGGTCAGAGCAAGATCCCAGAGGAGGAAATGCTTAACCACTAGCTGTCAGGGAATCCCCCTTTCTCCCTGAATTAGACGCATCAGATCAAAGTGGAGTTGCAGGTGGTAGTTGCAATTTTCTGCCGCCAGAGGCCGCAAGTGTCCCATTTTTATTGGGGGACGGTCCCGTGTTTCCGCACACACAGTCTCACTGCCAGAAGTTGCTGGTAAGGAGACTTTTCCACAAACAAAACGTATTTTGAAGGACTTTTGGCAATGCTGACTAAAACCCCATGTGAATAAAACAAAAACTAGTCTCATGTCGGCAAAGAAAAAGGCAAAATGAAAGGATGATGATGCTGTTGTGTTCAACTGTCCAGTCAGATGTGGTGCTGAAACGCTGCGTCCGTGCGTCTGCACTCCGGGTTGGGTTTGGCTTTTACTCGAGCCCCATGAGCGCAAAAAGAGTAGGCTACAAACACATAACACACATATAAAAGTGTTCACATTCAGGTAGTAGTTAAAGGCTTGTGTTGAATTTAACAAGACTTTCCAGTGATAACCTGTCAAGCAAGTGCCACCAAACTGGACCTGCGGAACACAGAGAGTTGGGAGGTAACTGTAAAATGCTCTCTCGGACGCCTGTTTGTCATAAACATGATGTTTACTTTTAAATTAATCGCGTCCCGGCGCGAGTTATAATTGCCAATTATTGTGGTCAGAGGCACGCTTGCAATTTATTTTGCTCTGTAAAGCTGTAGCCTGGAAACAGGAGAGAGCGTCCTTGGTATTTGGTGATTGTAAAGAGCTGGAGGAGAAAGATGGCCGAGGGGGGAAGACTGATAATTTGAAGACTTGCCAGGGGTACATTGTCAAATTCAAAAGGCATTTCAAAGAACCAAACCATTCACTTTTTTTTTTATTCTCTCTTCTTTTTTTTTCTTTTTTCGCTGTCTTTTTTCTCCTTTCTTTCTTTTCGCACGGTTGCAGGCCGTTTGAATCGACCAATGGGCCTCCAAGTTAGAGACATTGGAATGTAAATGAGCCCAGCGCGTGCTCCCGGCGCAGTGAAAGCTCGGGATTGTTTATTGAGCTCCCGGAGCCACGCGCCTGGCCCGGGGGAGTCGGCGTGCAGAAGAATCACACAGCGGGGGCGGGGCCTCGCGACGAAGCGTGCGTCTCCAAAAAGGGGGTGGGTGGGGTGTGTGTTGGGGCGCGTGTTGAAAAAGGGGAGTGCTGCCAAAGTTTGGGTCAGATCGGCTCGTGGAGTAAGCAGTCAAGAGAGACTTGGACTAGAGTTAGCCACACGGTCCCCACGCGAAGGACACGAGAGCTGTACACTGCCAACCGTTGCCACCCTTCCTCTCCTTCTTGTCCCCACTGTTAGAGGCAGCGCTCGGCCCTCTGCATCCATCACTGCAGGAGAACTGTCAACGAGATGGAAACTACAACCATCACCACCACGCAGACGGCATTCGCCTTTGGACTTACTGAAAGACGCGCCACCCTCAGCCTGCACGCCCCGGCGCAGGACTGCACGGTCCCGGCTGTGCACCCCAGCGCTGACAGCACTGCCGGCTTCCAAAGCAAAACCAAGGTGCTGAAGAGACAGCGCTCCAGCTCGCCGGAGCTCCTGCGCTGCAAGCGGCGCCTGAGCTTCAACGGCCTTGGCTACTCCATCCCCCAGCAGCAGCCCGTGGCCGTGGCCCGGCGGAACGAAAGAGAGAGAAACCGGGTCAAACAAGTCAACATGGGTTTCCAGACGCTGCGTCAGCACGTGCCCAACGGGGCCGCCAACAAGAAGATGAGCAAAGTGGAGACACTGAGGTCTGCGGTGGAGTACATCAGGGCTTTACAGCAACTTTTGGACGAACATGACGCTGTGTCGGCTGCTTTCCAGTGCGGGTTGCCATCCCCGACAATTTCCAACAGCTACTCCGCCGACCCGGAGTCGCCTCACTCCACCTACTCATCCGATGAAGGTGGTTATGAGCCTCTGAGCTCCGAGGAACAGGAGCTGTTGGACTTTACAACCTGGTTCGACAGGTACTGAGGCTGACAGCATCCGAACCACACAGCGGCGTCTGTGCGTAAAAGACGGCTCTTCTTTCAGAAAAGCTGACACAGACTTAGGTAAAGGAATCAGATCGGTCTTGCCCTCCGTGCTTGTAAGAGATCTGTTGCCTCCCCGCCTCACCCGGGCTGCTTCTGCAGGAGCAAAGCAATAGTGAGAAAGAGAGAGGGAGTGTGTGTGTGNNGTGTGTGTGTGAGAGAGAGGGAGCCTCTTGTTGCATGAATAGTCGCCCTGAAGTCCTCACAAGGAGGAGGGAGTTGGACTCGGTGTCACGTTGACGCGTGGAAGTAAGGAACTGTTGTTATGTTTGAATAAGTGCAATTAATACGTGACACAGCAGGCTCTGCAGAGACGGTGCTGCAGTTCCAGAGGACTTGTTTGATGAGTGTTTCATCAGAGCAGGACTGCCTTCCTCGGCTGCCACGTCCGTTGAGAAGGCACAACACAGCAAAGATGATGCGTCAACAGACTTTTTTTCGTGATGTACATTTCCACCCTTTCATAACAAAATTGTACCATACAACAAATTGTTTTAACATGAAGACATATTTTTGTACATTGAGTCAAAACAAACAATGTTCTTGAACAACATTCACTGCCACTTTTCCTGATGGTGTTTTGAGAACCAGCTGTCATTGTGGCAGTGAGTTGGCATGTGTGAGTTGTGTGACTGGACAGCAATATCAAGGCTACTACCTGTGACTGACTGTAGTTGTTTTGTTATTTTTTGAATAGGTGGCAAGGAGACCTTTATTAATGTATGCACTTGTTCTCCGTTTCCCGTAGCCTAAAATGTAAATACTCGATTTTAACAGATATATTTTGTGTAAAACAAGTTTTATAATAAAGATCCAATCTATTTATATTATATGTTTTGCAGTTTTTGGTTCTTCAGCTGATATTGCCACACTTATGCTCAAAGATGTGGTGTGGTGTGATGGTGTGGTGTGTGTGTGTTTCTGTGTGAGGGGTGTGTGTCAGTGGTGGCGGTAATTGAGCAAACCAGGGTGCCTCTCTTCTATTCAAAGCCCCTACGTGACCTTTTCCCGACTTGGTTAGGCACACTGGGGAAAATTGCGCAGCTGGGTGAGCACTCAATAACCAGTATAGACGCGCACCTTCTACAGCGCTTTGTCTGCATTCAGGACGGGGAGATTAATATTACGTTTCATGCATTGCATTGTTTCTTTTGCATACTCTGCCTTTACCCAATAGCCCTGAGGGCCTGCAGCGGAGGGAGAGAGGGAGGGGAGAGGAGGGGTGCAATTCAGTCCTCTCAAAGGGTATAGACACTTTGAAATACGGCCTGGGGAAAGTCAGCAAGACAATGAGACGGGTCAAAATTCTTATTGCCCGATTGAGATCAATCTAAATAAAACCTCGGGTTGTAGACTAGTTGTATCCCCAACTGTGTTTTTCATGGCGCACACAGCCCAATCAAAAAGCCCATCTCCTGCGAAATGGAGAGCGCAACAGCACATTGTGAGCACTATTGTGTGCGCCTTTGCGCCTCATTATGCCAATTATGGAAGATCTTCTATTGTAATTGAACACTGATGCCAAATTCAGCGAGGCAGAACGAGAAATAACGAGTTTAATTTCACCTGGTGCTCTCTGTGGGAGTGGAAAATTGGGAACAAGAGAGGCTGATTGGAGCTGGTCTTATAGTATAATACATTTAAAAACTAAAAGACTTTCTATCAGCCTACATTAATCCAATCCAATAAAAAGAATATGAGCGACACTGGAAGGTCAAAACAACATAACTTTCACTTTTCCACTTTCT